GCACCCACATTGTTTTGAACGCAAGATGTATCACAGGTAGGAGCATTTATAAACTTAGAAATTTTTTCTGATTACATGCCTGTTCCGGACGGGCTCATAAGTGGAGAGTAATAAAAATTACAACCATCCTAATCACTTTAATGACTGGGAGCACGACATCGCCCCAGGCAGCATTCGGTATATCTTGACGATTAATAGATTGATCAAAGTTGCTTATGATATGTATAATGTGTTGCCTAAACGAAAGTATTTAGGCACAGTAGAGATAACAATCAGTAGGGACGGCTCGCCGTTTTTCGTGACCCGTTTTCGTGGATGGTCGTTCGCTTTATGACCGAATGAGGGCGCCCAACTGACGTCTAAAATATTTGAAATTTGGCAGTTTTGTTACAATATTTTTGCCGGTTTTGCTTGTTTAAGACTGCTTTTCCAGTAGAATTGTACAAATAGTATAAAAATGTAATTTTCACAATAAAAGGTAAAATCTTCGTCCGATGAATTTTCATACAGGATCCCTGTTGTGCGCCTGCCTTATTCTCTCCCTCGTGTTTGGAATTCTTGGAAAAGATAGTAAACATAACACACTTTTTGTTTAAAAAGTCGTCGCAAACGAACAACAACGGTGGTTATGAAATAAATATAAAAAATTTATTATATATGATTCCGTTGTTGTGGTAAAATTAAATATAAAAGTAATAAGAAACAAACTACACGTAACAAAAAATTATATAAGCAGACCTTCACTCAATAAACAATTTTTTTATTCACCATGTATATATATATATTTTTTTTGACCTATACAATCTTGAGTTTTATTTTGAGACGTTGCTTAACCCATAAGCAGTCGCGCGTGGGTAAAAATGACCCAAGCCGTACATTTTGTCAAATATCTTTTTTCCCTTAATCCCTATGGACTTCCGGTTTCATGAATTCCTTAATTATTCTTACCTGCGTCGACCCATACCAATTACCTGCACTTTATGCGAGTCGACAAATATGTATTTTTTTTTGTAATATTTTTTTTTAAATAAAAATTTTACTTTATATGATATTACGCTTACGGGTTAAGTTGTTAGGTAAAATGCGTTTTTTTCGTAAAATTTTTGAAATTATTAAACAATTTAACAGGTGCTGTTCTTATTTTTATATTTATTCTTGTATAAAGTAATTACCATAATTACATTATCATGCCTGTCTGTTTATTTCTCTACTTTTTTTTAGCTTTCTACATATATAAATAATATGGATACTTTCTTTAATAACTAAAAGAGTCTATTCTCGAAAAATATTTAGTCCTCATAAAATACTCCTTTACCTACGGTCCATTACAAAGTGTACCATTTCCGGATTAACATTTATGACTGTATAAGTAATAAAATAAAAACTGTAACAAATCATCGTGTTTATAATTTAAATATCGACTTTTTTTTCTTATTGCGATTCATGATTATACGATTTGAGCAAACTACACAGTTTGCAATATTGCGTACACGAATCAATTTTTGAAATTTTAAATGAAGTGATACTTTTTAAATTGGGTGGCGACATCTAGGAATAGTTTAGGCAACGACCATCCATGACGGCTTAAAATTCGGGTCAGAAAGAACAAAGGCGCCGACACGAGCTGTCCCTACTGATTGTTATCTATGCTGTGATTTAGGCGTGAACAGATAAAATAATCACCCTGTATTTTAAACAATCGAGGATGTGATAGAGAAATTCTGTTAACAGATTTGAATGTAAAACATTGATATTTATAAAAATAGCTTTTTTTAACCATTTTTGTTGCAGACAAGAAGTCTTATCGGTATAATTTTTCGTCTATTGACTGTAGAACTCCATGACCTATAAAACAATTGATAATGAACGTGTCTTCTAACACAAAAGTAGGCACAACAATTTTAACTAAAACTAGTAATTGGAGACGTTTATTAAAAATAAATCAAATATGCTTCATCCGTTGTTTAGATTAATTTAAAAGCCACAAAAGAGCAATATTTACACTGTCATCACTGGCTAGGAATAAAAAAGAATAGTTGTATTATTAAATATGATGATATTATTAACATGGTTTTCAAAATAGTATGGTAATATCCGGTATCAAAATAACATCAGTCACAAAAAGGAATATGTGTTTTCTTTATTTTATCATTTGATTTTGGCTACCGATATTTGGAGGTGACTTCACTACAGTTAATGCGTTTAGGATGATTTATTGTTTAGCGCCTCTGTAAATGTGTCCATTAAGACTGTATTTAACGAAGTTTACAAATTTTTTGAGTCCGGCACCAATTGTCTCGCAGGTGAAGAAACCCAAATGTAAAGTTTCTACACTTCATCAGTATCTAATAAAATTTTACAACCTCTACTTTGAGGGATTGTCGGACAATGCAGGCCAATAAAAGGAGCGTGCCGCCAGGGTATAGTGGGCTAGAAACATCCAGGGTTGAATTGAATTTGTGATTTATGGTATTGTGGGTCCAACCTTCATGGTTAACTTTGAAATACCAATAAAATTTTATTAGATACTGTTCAAGTGATGGAACTGTATCCGGCCGGTTATTGCAGTGGGCGGTTATCCCGCTGGTAAAAGCTCTTAAGACGATTAGAGATTAGTCAAGTCACTTCCAAATATCGGTAGCCAGGCTATACGTAAAAAGTCATCGACAATCATTGGATTCTTGGTGCATTTAAAGAGTTAATAATATTGTTAAATATTTGTCAGTACGCCAGGGATTAGGGATTTGTTTAAAGAACTCAACCGGAAACTAACTTTCTTTTTCCGAAAAATCATTACGCTTGAGATTTTCATATTCATGCCTCTAATGACGATACTTAACATTGACGATCTGCTGCAAATCTTAGTAAATTTTTTTCCCTTTCACAATTTCGAATCTTCAGGTGTTACCTTGTTTCCAAGAAACGATTTCGTTTACAGAGAGGGAACGCCCATTGGCATTTGGCTTCTAGAAAAGTCGAACTGAAAATTAATGCTTGTCGTACACGTTTTTGGTGAAAACAGACATATACCTTAAGGACCGTTTACATAAAGTGTTTCATTATTTGAGTTATCAAAGAATACTAAATAAAACCAAATACAGCCGAAAAGACTGCACTCGAAAATGCAATTTGTTTTTGAAAACATTTACACTTTTGTCTTGAAAAAAATTAACTTGAGTTTATGTTGATGCATATTTTCTTGAAACCATCGGCACACTTTAAGTGATAAGAAATATGTACTTGTTTTGGTACTTGTACAGTTCCATCACTTGAACAGTATCTAATAAAATTTTATTGGTATTTCAAATTTAACCATGAAGGTTGGACCCACAATACCATAAATCACAAATTCAATGCAACTCTGGATGTTTCTAGCTCACTATACACTGGCGGCACGCTTCTTTCCTTAACCTACAAACATTTGTGGACATGGTGATAAACTTATACATTTAAGCTCACTTCCAAGGACAAGAATTGATGAATTTAATTTTAAAGACCAATCAATTCGTAATTTATCATATGCTACAACCTTAAAATAATTCATTTTTAGATATGTGGATATAAGAAAAACACTCTGTATATCGCTTTATACATTACAATCAAAATTTAATTTGCAAAATTTTAACAAATATTTCTCTAAAGATATACAGCTGCTTGAAGGTGTTACATGAAATGTCATGGAAAAAATTTTAAATGCTATTTACAGAATTTAAAACACGAAGGAGTAAAATTATAACTAGAATATACATATAATAGATAATATAGTCTATTAAATGTGTTATTATATCTTGGGGTTATTTATTGGTGATGATGCTGCTAAATAATAATTAATAATATTACTGAAATATATTGTATATATGTATAAATATTCTGCCTAGTACTCTACTTCTACACCTGTAGATTATGAATCCAAATTGACTGTTCGCTATAGACCTCCAGATTTTTGGCAAAAATTTCACAAATTAATGTATATCAACATTTTACATTTAACATTTATCTATTTGCTCTTATCAAAAAGTAACGGCAAATCAAAATTTTGCCCAGAACATCTTATCTAGAATATGCTAAATGGTAATAAGAGTATCTAATTTTGCAGCGTAATATTAACAATAATAGTAGTGTATTTCCAAATTTTCGGAAAAATGGACTAAACCGTTCTTGAATTAATCAATAAAATAAATTAACTCATTTGATTAATTTTCTTGAGTCACCCTGTATAAGCAGTTCTAAAAAATATAAAATTACTTATAAACCATAAACATATACTCAGAACTTTCCACATTTTAGATAGGATTTATTCGGCAATTGAAATGACGTCATCCATTTTCTGGGAAGGATAAACGGATACATTTTGATTAACAATTAACCATGCATACTAAAATCTCAGAGCATCCGGTTTTGTAAAATGTTGTATAATTTTTTCTAAAAATGTGGACGTTTAGGGCAATATCAAGACGGATTCATAGATCACACGTGTTGGAGAACGGTATATTATATTATAAATTTTAAATAACAACTACTATCTATAATTTCAACGTGACGTCATCACTAGTATAACCAGTGTATAAATTTTCCCTACATTTGTCCTTTATTCTCATTGTAAGGCAGCTTAAATTCTGGTCAAATGCCGATAAATTATTATTTTAAAAAATCTTGATGTGGGACATAAATCAGAGATTTCCTCGCAGCTAATAAACAAAACTAACAAAATTGCTCCGCTATTTTTCTAAAGCACGGAATATGTGTCGTTGTTCTTCGGCTGTTAAAGTGAAAGCGCAATATGTGTTGGTGTTTTGCCAGCAGAAGACTTAAACAACTATGGTCATTACTTATTATGCATATTGATGACTGCTGTGGCTGATAAGTAACAAACTCATATTATTTTAACTTAAAGGTTGGTATAAGAAAAATAAATAAAATTCACAGGGTTCAATTTTATTATTTACACTTTTACACCGTACTGTACACTATCGCTACATATAAAATACCTACTATATAAATCATAACCTATTACACGATGCTGATCCACTGGCCACATCCTGCTGGCTGTGCCACAATGAATCCTGATTTTGTTCCAGCATCTGCAGAATTTGGTTAATTTGTTCATCTAATTCAACGTTTGCATCAGCATCAGTAGACGTAATGAATTGCGTGCAAGGATAAGATGAAAAATTATTTAACTGGGTGTTGATTAGGTTACCATAAGGGTACACTTCATTGGTCGGTTGAATCTGGTCTCCAGTGCCATTGTTGTTGTTGAACGAAATTTGCTCTGGGGACGGCTCTGGAGTGATTGGAAAATGGTACTGTTGATCTTCTCGTTTGATTGGGTTTTGACCATTTGCACTGGGAAGTGAGTACTGCACTGAAGGTTGAATTAAATGTCGAGGAACTTGAAGCACTTGTACGGTATTAGTAGCTGCTGAAATAACATTCGGGTGAAGCTGTGCCGGTAAGGTCCTCAAATTCTCGGATTGTGTTGTTTCTCGCGCCATATCATTCTTCACAATTTCAGGCGACGCAGATCGACCACATTCTTTCTTACATTTCATCCGTCTATTTTGGAACCATACTTTGACTTGTCGTTCGGACAATTTAAGTGTCTCCGCCAGATGAATCCTCCGCGACCTCGTGAGATATTTATCTCCACCGAATGCTCGTTCGAGTTCTAAAACTTGCTCAGAGGTATAAGTATGTCGTGCGAACCCTTCTCGGAGTCAACTTAGTTTCCTGTTGGACGGCACCTGAGCAAGTTTGTGTTAAACTTAACAATTTAGGGAAATCTTAATTGCAAACTTACTTGTACTGGCTTGATTGTTGCTCAGCTGTTGGTGGATGGGCAGGTTGTAATATGGAGCTGGACAATTCCAGTCAAGAGCGCGTACCTGTAACTTTTAAAAGAAGCACGTAAATATGGAAAGAATGGTTTAGCGATGGTTAATTTAAAAATCAATATCTATTTAGTATTTACCATTTGATTGGTTTGCTGGGGGTAAAAATCGTAGTTTCCGACGCCAGGAGTAGCAGCACCCAGGTTGTTCAAAGCGTTGAAATTTGGCATAATTGAATTGCTGGCGAAGTCTCCGCCGTTCGAGGATCCTGACATGGCCATGGTGAAGAGGGTACACGAAGGTAGATGATGACTGTTGATAACTGAGCTTCTCTGCAAATTGCAGGGATTATATAGGTTTTCCCACCCCATTCCAAAGATTAGTAATCGGTCGCTTCAACTCTATTGGTTAAGATAACAATGTTTGTTTGCACGCACAAATAAAAATAAATTGTGGAGCCAAAAGCCGTTTTTTGACCACTCAGAAGTGAGGATCCAGTTGAACAGAAAAGATCTGGTGCATGAGCAGAAGGTGGAGGGGTTTTAGGGTGGTAGGGAATTTATTGTAATCCACCAGGACGCCGATAACCAACACGGTAGTCTGGTAAAAGCATTTCCCCTCCCACACATAAAAAAACATTTTTTTTGTTTTCATATCAAATCCAATACAATGTATATTTCATTTTCCCATATTTCGTAGTGTCGATTGACTATAGTCTGACCTGCCAAAAAGAATTAGTTTTTTTTTATAGTATGAATTCTCTTTTCGCAAAAGCTTACTGTGGCGTTAACATGCGTGAATATTCTAATAATTCTAATTTATAAATGAAATTATGGCTTTTGTTTATAAATACGACATCAAAAGACTATATAGTATTTTAACTGAGATTAACGTAATTGAGCATTTAACGAGGTATTTAGCGACGTCTGATTGGCGTAGAGTCGTTACCTGGTTACGTTAAGGGCGTGCTAAAAATTTAATCGTAATCCAATATTTAATCGAACTTCTACAAACCGGGTCTATATGTGCAATTTTTGATGTAGTCAATCTATACGTAATCGTGAAAGCAATTTATTTTCCAATATTTTTTATAATAACTTAGGAAAAAAATGTTAGAAATTTGTTTCCACTAGGAATATGCATGTTGAAGAAAAGTTAAGTTTCTATACTTGTTTGTGTGTGCCGTTTATCCGCATTGAAAAATAGGGTGACTAATATGTTTGTGTAACTGTTTACAAATTTTTCTACTGTTGACGATATTTTCATAAAGGGCACAATACCAGTTCTTTTAAACTAATTGTTTCAAGTATATTTTAAGAAAATATGTATTTTTTTGTCTATATGACTAATTGCTTTGTTTATACACTTTATAACGTCTAGGACTACTAGGCCAGTGCCGAAGTTTTTGAAAATGGTAAAAAGTGAAAAAAAATTAGAACAGAATGATACCCATTGGCAAAGGAAGAAAATATAACAAAAATAAAAGGAAAAATAATTTACGGGCGATCTGAGGTCGGGAAGTGGAAGGGGGTGAGCTTTTAAGGGTAGACAATGGTTTATCACGATTTCCGGCAAAACTACAAATCCTATCGAAAAAAGTCAAGTAGCAAAGTTCTAGGTAATAAAAGGATCTACAACTTTTGTATTCACACTTTTCTTACATAACCTCACAATTTATGCGAAAAATGTAGATAACCGACTTTTTGGTTTTTTATTTTATCTCACACCAATGTTTTTTTTTTTTTCACAAAATTTGGTGAAAAGTTACATATTTATATCCCAAATTCACTATAATTTTTTTGATTCGAAATATTTATTTTTTCCCCTTATTTTGATTTATTAACGAAAAACCACCCTAGTTTTCAATCGAAAATTCTCACGCCAAAATAGTTGCTTTTTTAAAAAGATCGGTGTGTTTTTTGTTCGTTGAAATCTCTACATTCTGATGGTGTAAAAAAAAGTATACCTACATTACTATGGCAAATTTTCACAGGAAATGCAAAAAGACGAAAAAACTAGAAATCAAAAATTTGTTTTTTAATTTTTATGTAAAATTTAGCTATTTATTAAAATGTAGACGTTAATTACTCGAAAAACGTTAAGATTCCATGTTACATTGATAAAATAAAAAATTGCAAACGAAATATATTGTTATAATTAACAACCAAATAAGTTAATAAACTTAATACTTTTTAAGATATCTACAATATTTTATGAAAGTTGTGTGATAATTTTTAAATTATATGCGTAGGTGCCTATTTATTGCTATTTTAAGATAACTTAGGTATATACCTGAATGGCCTACAGAAAATTTTAGCCCATCAGAAGAATGAACAACATCGTTTATAAAAATACATGTGCAGGCTAATAAAACTGTCATAGTTGTGGCTCAAGATATTGATCTTTTGGTCCTTTTGAAAGAATTTAATTCAAATAATTATGACATTTATTTTCTCAAGCCAAGTTGTGGAAATGCAAAAGATCTATTATTCACGTCCAATAGTTTCAAATATGAATCCTTCAAAAATTTCGTTGCATTTCTGGATTGTTTGTCTGGTAAATTCATTGTCTTCTTATACATAAAATTCTTGTGTCACAGTGTTTGTAACCAAACTTCTCCGAAACGGCTCGACCGATTTTTATGAAATTTTCTGTGTATATTCGGTACGCCTGAGAATAGATCGCAAACTAATTGTTATACCCCTAAGTGATAAGAGGGCCCTACCCAAAAAAAAATTCTTTTTATTTTTTAGACAATTTTTTTTTTTTTTAAACATTTGGCACAAAAAATACATATCACCCTAAATTTTCACTCTTCTACCTCCAACCCCCAGTTTGTAATAACGATATTAGTATTTTTAACTTCATCCAACTACGCGCAATAGGGTTGCAAGATTGCTGTTGAATATAATCATTGTCGGACGATAAATATTTATGTATAATTTATAATCTATACTTATATAATAAAGCTGAAGCTTTTGTTTATTTGAACACGCTAATCTCAGAAACTACTGGTTCAAATTCAAAAAATCTTTTTGTGTTGGATAGTCCATGTATCATATCTACATATAGGCTATATAACATCACGTTACGATCATTAGGAGCGAAGTAGCAATGAAAAATTCGGAAAAACGGGAAAATTATTCCTCCTTTGACAGCTTCCGTTGCTTACGCTGCTTAAACGGTTAAAGATACGTAAAAATCATGTATGACGAAATTGTTCCCCTCTAAAAGTTCTAAAGAAAAGTCCGCGACAGCATATGTCTATCTTTTAAGGTCGAGTCAGTATAACCTTTTTAATGGTAATGAAATTTGTTCTAAAATAATAATGCATTATGTATAAAATTCTCGCGTCACAGTGTTTGTAACAGAACTTCTCCGAAATGGGTGGACCGATTTGTATGAAATTTTTTATGTATATTTGGTAGGTCTGACAATAGGTTGTAAACTATTCTTTAAACCCCTAAGTGATAAGGGTGGCCCACCCTAAAAAATTTTTGTTTGTTTTTTGGACAAAATTTTTTATTTTTATTTTTTTAAGGTTTGGCACCAAAAAATACACATAACCCTAAATTTTCACCTTTGTACCACCAACCCCCATTTTTTAATCGTCTATAAAATAAAAATCAATTGCTGTTCCTGTTAGTCTCGCTAAGACTCAAAAACGGCTTGACCGATTTGAAACATTTTTTATATTACGGGGATGGTTTATACACAAAAAAAATAAGGATAACTTAAAAGTTAAAAAATAAAAAAATTCTAAAAATGTTGTATGGGAATCGCCACTTCGAATTACTTTCAATAGTTGGCGTTTCTGACGGACCTGTCGTCTAACTGACGTGTCATACAAAACTAATTCTTCCGTGCGATTGTGAAAAGTATATTGCATTTCAAATCGTTCTTTTTCGTAAAAAAAAACGTCGTTTATTTTAAGAAAAGTCTTGGTTAAAGTGAATTTAATTACACATTGCGAAAGTTTCTTATTCATTTTGATCTGCCATTCTATTTACCTATATTCACTTTGTTGGTTTCGACAAAACCTCAAACTTTACCGTTATTCGAGGATTTAATTTGAAGTTTTCAATATTTTAAAATTCTCAAGACAAAATTTACAGATTTGATTGACTGTAAAAATAATTCTGTGTCGTTTTATGAAGTTCATTAAAATGCCGAGAAGACGACAAGCTCACATAGGTCCACGAAGTCAATCAAATGTGCGACGAACTACCTCATGTGCAAAACGCAATGATTTATTTCATGGGTAATTCGGATATGGAAGTTGATCAGCGTTGTGCTCATAATCAACATAATCAAACATTGAAGCGAGACATTGGGTGGTATGAATAAAACAGAGTAGATACTCATATTCGAAGTACGAAGTACCTACTTCATTATTACTCTTATATACCTGAGCATCTACTCTATGTACTGAGTACCTACTTGGAAACATTGTATCTCCCCGGACACAAACTGAACATCTACGCGTTTTGTGAGCATTTAATCTAAAAATGAGCATCGGCGTGGCAAATAACAGGGCTGTCTGTAAAGTAGCTTAGAAAACGAGTAGGATCGTTGTAAGAGTGAATTTTGACTAAACATGGCGACTTTCATGAACGTGGAACGTCGTCAAAAGGTGCATTCAGTTTGAAAAACACATTAGGAGCAGGAATATCGAAAACTTTTCATGTAATTAACTTTTATTTATGCATAAATTGTGCAGTGCGTTTTTTCTAACACTGGCCATAGAGATTCCCATTTCAAGGTGTCTACCCCATACTAACTTATATTTTGGTGACTCGATTTTTGCCTTGATGGTTGAACACTGTCACTATTGTCCTTTTTTGTTGTATCGAGATGCTACTTGAGCATCAACTGTTACTTACTGTGAAGTATTAGTATCATCTAGAAAAACTAGAAATATTTTGATTTGATATTCGAGTAGATACTTCGTATTTCGAGTATGAGCATCTACTGAGTTTTATTTATATCAACCATTGTCAAACAACTGATCGAACGTTTTTTCGATAGAACTTCCTTCGCACCAAAAGTATAATGTAACATATTCAGCATTTTCGAGTTGCGTCTTTTCTTCACACAATTTTGTGATGACCAAATCAACATTTACAATCAACACGTATATCACCTTGGATTGGTGCAGTGTAACTAATACTAAAAATAACTGTATTTTATCTCCAAAATTATTTGCGAAAATCGAGAGAAGAATGTTTAATGAATAACAATTTACCATGCTTACAATAACTTTAAAACGTCTGCAAGATCT